CATGGTTTTGATTTTCATTTCTCTAATTATTTGGTGATATTTAGTACCTTTTCATGTGACTGTTGACCATCTATAGTTCTTTGGAAAAATGTCTATTTAGGTCTTGTATAGTTTTTAATTTTTTAATATTAAATTGTGTGAACTGTTTGTATATTTTGTCTATTAACTCCTTGTTATTCACATGGTTTGCAAATAATTTCTTTTCTGTAGGTTGTTTTTCCGGTTTGATGATTTCTTTGCTGTACAAGAGCTTATAAGTTTCAAGTCTCATGTTTATTTTTCTTTTTATTTATTTTGCTTCCAGAGACTGAGCTAAGAAAACATTGCTGATTTATGTCAGAGAATGCTTTGCCTATGTTCTCTTCTAGAATTTTTATGGTGCCATGTCTTATATTTAGATCTTTTGCCATTTTGAGTTCATTTTTATATAGAGTGTGAGGGGCATTCTAATTTCATTGATTTACATGTAACTTTCCAGCTTTTCCAACACCACTTGTTGAAGAGACTATATTTTATCCACTGTATATTCTTCTTGTATCCTTTGTTATAGTTTAATTGACTGTGTGTCTGTAGATTTATTTCTGGGCTCTCTATTCTTTTCTTGTTTTTGTTGTTCAGTGGCTAAGTTGTATACGACTCTTTGTGACCCCTGTGAACTGCAGCATGCCAGACTTCCCTGTGCTTCACTGTGTCCTGGAGTTTGCTGAATCTCATGTCCATTGAGTCAGTGATGCCATCCAACATCTCATCCTCTGTCACCTCCTTCTACTCCTGCCTTCAGTCTTTCCCAGCATTAAGGTCTTTTCCAATGAGTTGGCTGCTTGCATCAGGTGTCCAAAGTATTGAAGCTTCAGCTTCAGTATCAGTCCTTCCTATGAATTGATATTCCTTTCTATTGATCTGCATTTGTGCCAATACCATGCTGTTTGGATAACTGTAGGTTTGTAATGTTGTCTTAAGTCTGGGTGAGTTATGTCCCTAGCTTTGTTCTTTTTCCTCAGGATTGTTTTGGAAATTCTGAAACTTTTGTCTATTATATGTTCTAGCTCTGTGAAAAATGTTATGGACCAACACCACACTATCTTGATTTAATGTAACTTTGTAAATAAATTGTGAAGTAGGGTAGGAACTTTAGAATCTATTTATCAATATCCACCAAATAAATTGCTCAAATTTTGGTATTATGTTGGATCTATAGATTAACTTGAGGCAAGCAACATCTTAAAAATATTGTCTTACTATTCATGAGCATGAATTATCTCTTCATTATTTATACCTTCTTTGATTTCTTTCAACAGAGTTTTATAGTTCCCTCCTATAGATCTTGTGCATATTTTTTTAGATATATTTTTTGTGAAATATTTTAACAGTTTAGAAAAAAAATTTTTTTTTCTGTGATTCCTATGCCCATACCAGCAGTGTCACCTGGAAAAATTGGTAAAAATGCATGTCTTTAGCTACACTCCAAAGTTATTTGAGACTTAAATATGGAAGTACCTATGTTGTTCAATATTTATTTTTATTAAGAGCATGTGGTTGAATTGGAAGCCATGTAAAGGACCACAAAATGGTCTATCTTCCCTTTCTGTCGTTAGATGACTTTCTATTGGCAGCTCAGTTTTGTTAAACCCATTTATTCTGATAGCAAGAGCTCTTTAATCTTCCTGCTTCAACAGGAAGTAATCACTCTTCCTTTTCAACAATGTGGTTTCTCAGAATACTGCTACCATTTTATCTCGGCTCCTGGAGAGTTAGGATTGAAGGCAGGTCCTTTAAGCAGGGAAATAATTGCTGTGCCAATAACTTGATTGTTGACTTCACACTAATCACTTTATTTCTTCTAGTCTCCCTTTTTTTTTATATGTAGAATGAGAAAATACTTCCCACCTCCCAAGTTTGTTGTATATACTCCAAATGATAAAATGAATATGGAAGTGTTGCATAAATAGAAAAAAAAAACACTGATCATATAAATGTTTCTAGTTATCTTTTGTTGCCTAAAAGATTAGGCTTGTGGAAATTTTACTTTGGGAATTTTCTTCATTTAAGAAATTTGCTTTTAAAAATATACTTAAGAGTCCAATATGGGCAGTCTTCCCAGAGCCTATTAGATGCCCTGCTAGTTTAATGTTTTCTTCTATCACAAGAGTTTTTGGACTGCTACAAATTTGATCTCAAAGGCATTCACCCCCATTTCATTCAGATGCCACTAGAAATGTCATCTGTACAGCTCTTAAGCCCTATTTGTTTCTTGATCTCTTTTATTTACCCCAAAGCTCTAAAATATGCACCTTTTGAGATGTTTTCCTCACCATTCTTCTGGCTATTTTCCACAGGACTAATTTTTTTCTGTCTTTAATTATAGTGTGCTCCCTCAATTCTTCAATCATATATTGAGTGTTGGCTTCCCACTTCCCATTTAATTCCAGGAATGCTGCTGTGAAGGTAGAGCTGAATGAAGGCCTTTTACAACATGCCAGGAATTTATTGCTTGACTGCATCTCTTTCATCTCCTGGAAGTGTAGTGAAAGTGCTTGTATACCTCAGTATGGTAGCTGTTAAAGAACTTTTTATCATTTCTCTAAGAGGAGGCCAAAAAACGCTTTAGTAGAAGAGGGAGGAAGATCAGCCCTAGCATGTGACAACTGCAAATATCTAGTCATTCTCATAAATAAGTTTTAAAGTGTAGAGGAAACTATGGAGAAAATAAACAAAGAGAAGCTTTGCAGCCTTTACTTCTTAACAAGTACAGTGGAGGTGGTAGTAGTACCTCTGAAAGTGTCCTTTAAAAATCTGGATAACAGACTTTCTCTATAATTAAAGATAGGAGGCTTGCCTAGGTGCCAAACTGACTCTGAAGGGAACTCTATTGGCAATGGTAAGGTCTGTTTTTGAGGACTGCCAAAAATGAATTTAAACAGTATACTTTCAATGCCTTCTTTTTGTAATATGTTAACCATCAAAGACTCATTTACTAATGATTTATTGCTACATAACACCTTATTCTAAAACTTATCAAGTTAAACTAAAACTATTTAATTTTATTTCATGTTTTTTTTAGGGTCAGGAATTCAGGCAGGGGTCACCTGGAAGATTGGTCTGCCCTATGTGGTGGTATTCACTTGGGATATAGGGTGGTATGGAAGATAAAAAGTAGCTTCACTTACATATTTGACGCCTTAGTGAGATGACTGTAAGCCTGAGTTCAGCTGGACTACTGACAAGAATGTCCACATTTGACCCCTCTAGCTTGGTAGTGGCAGGATATTTCAACTTCTTATACTGTGGCTCAGGTCTTATGAGGACTGTTGCAAGGCAACCAGGTGGAAGTTACTGGCTTTTTATTACCTAGCCTGACATGTCATGTAGTATCACTTCCACTGTATTTTGTTGGTTCAAAACAGGAACAAACTCACTTGTATTCAAGGTAGAGGGAATAAAGGCCTTTCTTCTCAGTGGGAGGAGTATCACAGAATTGGTAGTCATGCTTTAAAACTTCCACAGTAGTAAAAAAAAAAAAATTACTCCCTGTTTGTGATCTATGACACCAATGACTTAGTTTATTTCCAGGTGGGTACACAAAGTTGATAGCACATAATTCACAATCCATAGAAAAGTAGCATGTATTAGGCAAGAGAGACAGGCTGGTACTTTTAGTAAGAAAATTATTGTTTTCAATTGAAGATAGTCATGGAGCCTTGATTGGATGAGAGTTTGCCCATTTATTTGAACCTTAAATCATATCTGGATGCAAAATAAGAGGTCCTGCTTGTAGGACCTGAATGCAATATGTGTTAATGCCTCAACTTGCCTTGTGCTTTGTTGATAGTTTAAAAATTGCTTCTTAGTTTGGAAAATAAGGGGTTCTCTGATAGCTCAGTTGGTGAAGAATCTGCCTGCAATGAAGGAGACCTGGGTTTGATCTCTGGGTTGGGAAGATCCCCTGGAGAAGGGAAAGGCTACCACTCTAGAATTCTGGCCTGGAGAATTCCATGGACTGTATAGTCCATGGGGTTGCAAAGAGTTGGACACGACTGAGCAACTTTCACTTTTGGAAAATATAGGACTGGTCAAAACTGGCTTTCTACTCTGTCTTCTGTTTTTGTTATAGAGACATTTCTTGTCTTACTGACACTTCAGTCTCATCAGATAAGGAAGCCAGTCCCTTATTTTTTTCTTGTCTTGTAATAGATCAGAATTAAAGCATAGCTAACTTGCACCTTTGAAAAAACAAACCCTGCTTGTTGCTTTGGATAGATGAAAACTCCCAAGAGGTTTATATGAAAAACAAAACTTTGTATATCTCTGCCTTCCCAGTGCACAAGGGCTCCAGTTTGACTATGATATTCTTAATTTCCAAAACCAATATTGCCAATATTCTTATATTCTTTATTGCCAATATTTTTAGTATGTGGAAAGGCTGTTTCTGTCAGGTTCTGAGCATACAGTTACATCTTTTGAAGGCCTGGTCTAGTATTCTCTGTGATGCTGTAATAGATTCCTAGTTCTGAGAGAAATGTTCTGGCTTTATGACAAACCAGGGCAGGGCTAGAAACAATTTATACTGGGATTTTTCCTGGTGCTATTACTGTTAACTCATTTGCTTCCCATGAAATGATTTGTACTTGGTGCAATTGTCCTTTTCATGTTTTTTTGCATTCCCCCTTTCTTCTCTTTTCCACACATAATTCAGGCTTCCTGTGTCTGTTTCTGGTCATGACTCTGGATATTTATCAATTAAAAACTCAGATCATACTACCAGCAAAGTTACAGAGAAAGGCCCCTAATATTTCTTCTCTCATTTTTTCTGAAAGCATTTGATTTTAAAAGACCAACATGGGAAAACAGTAACAAAACCCAACAAACCAGCAAACTAGTTAACATTTTGCACTAATACACATTGATGGTGTATTATAAGGAAATATCCTAGTAGCAATGAATCTTGAATCTGAACCTTGCTAATTTGAAAGTTATTTTGTGTGTTTTTTCTTTTTCTCTAGGTACACAATGCTAGTGATTTGCTGATCAAACCCCTGGAAAATTTCCGGAAGGAACAAATAGGCTTCACAAAGGTACATTTTCTCTACGTGTGTAGATATTTTTTAATAGTATGTGGATAGTTGTTTGGGCTACCACCCTTCACCTTTCAAGCTTGAGGAGGATTCATCTCTATAAGAAAACTTCTATCAGAAAGTGAGAAAGTCTGGATTTGGCTCCTGACTGTGCTTCCAGCTAGCTCTGTAACTGTGGACAAGATACTTCTCCTTTTGGAGCTTCACATTCTCCACTTGGGAAATGGGGAACTTGATAATAATAAATATTATGTAAAGATGACTTACTATGTGCTGAGCCCTGGGCTAGGTGTTTTACATTCATTCTCTTAATCACAATAAACCTGTGAGGTTCTTTTATTATCCCCATTTTAGAAATAAGGAAACTAAAGTTTGAACAAGATAAAGGACATGACCAAAATTATCGTGATGTAGTTAGTAACTGACAGTCACTAAGATTTAAAACTGAGTATCTATTTAGTTTCAAATCCCACATTCTTTCCATTAAACTATACTGTCTAGATCTGTGGTATCCAATATGGTAGCCAAAAACTATATAAAGAAAATAAAATTCCATATATATGTGTTAGTATACTATAATGGTCTTTATCTTTCTGGCTTACTTCAAGTTTCCTTTGTTGTGCAAAAGCTTTTAAGTTTCATTAGGTCCCATTTGTTTATTTTTGCCTTTGTTTCTAAAATTCTGGGATGTGGATCATAGAGGATCCTGCTGTGATTTATGTCGGAGAGTGTTTTGCCTATGTTCTCCTCTAGGAGTTTTATAGTTTCTGGCCTTCCATTTAGATCTTTAATCCATTTTGAGTTTATTTTTGTGTAGTCTTTGCTTTTTAATATGCTGTCTAGATTGGTCATAACTTTCTTTCCAAGGAGTAACTGAATACATGGTAAAATTCATATTGCTTTAGTCATGAGAATAAATGAACTAGAGATATTGTACAGCACAGTGATTGAATCCAACAGATACAGGGTTAACAGAGGGGGAAAGTCAGTCACAAAATATTACTTGCTGCATGAGTCCATTTCTGTAAAGTTCAAAACCAGATAACTAAGTGATGGTATTAGAAGTCAGGATAAGTGTTACCTCAGAGTGGGGTAATAGTGACAAAAAATAGCACAAGTGGGGTCTTTATCAGTGTTGGTAATTTTTTTTTTTATCTGAAAGCTGATTACACAAATGTGCTCAGTTGGTGAACATTTATTGAGATTTATGCAGAGTATTTTTCAGTGTATATGTTATAATTTTTTTAAATTAAAATAATTTAAGATAGCAGTATTTTCTTATAGCATATTTTCCACTGACAGTCTGGTGTGTATGTACATATAAGGATGCAGTGGTTGAGAGAAGCTCTGGATTTATCCTCCTAATTATCTGTACATATGGACCTTCCTACTCTATTATGACTTTCCTTCCCTTTTCCCACATGTTAATTTCTCGAAGCAAGACATAGTATTATTTTATATAGTGTAGTGATTCTACTATATACTACAAGTAAAACTACCTGGGTTTGTATCCCGGCTCTTCAATTTACTGGCTCTTGAGCTTAGGAAAGTCACTTATCTTCTCTGGGCCTTAGTTTCCTTAACTATATGGGATAAGTAATAGTACCTACCTTATAGAATTTCCCTCAGAACAGAGATTGAAAGCCAGTGACCCCATGTATCTTGGTTGTCTGGGCAGTTGCTTAATTGTGCCATCTCCCTTTTCCTAATTTTTCATGAATTTAAAGATGATACTTTAAAAATGTATTGAAGGCTCAAATGTAAGGCCAGAAATTATAAAACTCTTAGATGAAAACATAGACTGTATACTCTTTGACATAAGTCACAGTAAGATTCTCTTTGACCCACCTCCTAGAGTAATGAAAATAAAAACAAAAAATAAACAATTGAGACCCAATTAAAAGCTTTTGCACAGCAAAGGGAGCAATAAACAGCATTAATATTAAAAGACAACCCTCTGAATGAGAGAAAATAATTGCAAAGTAAACAACTGACAAAGGATTAATCTCCAAAATATGCAAGCAGCTCATACAATTCAATATAAGAAAAATAAACAGCCCAAACAAAAAATGAGCAGAAGACCTAAATATACATTTCTCCAAAGAAGACATACAGATGGCCAATAACCCATGAAAAGATCCTCAACATTGTTCATTACTATAGAAATGTAAATCACAATTACAGTGAAGTATCACCTCACACCAATCAGAATGACCATCATCAAAAAACTACAAACAATTAATGTTGTAATAGATGTGGAGAAAAGAGAACCCTCCTTCATGTTGATTGAAATGTGGATTGGTACAGCCACTATGGAGAACAGTATGTAGATTCCTCAGGAAACTAGGAATAATATTACCATATGACCCAGCAGTCCCATTACTGGGCATATACCCTGGGAAAACCACAATTCAAAAAGACATATGTACCCTAATGTTCATTGCAGCATTATTTGCAACAACCAGGATCTGGAAGCAACCTACAAGTCAAGCAACAGATGAATGGATAAAGAAATAATGGTACATATATACAATGGAATATTATTCAGCCATAAAAGGGAATGAATTTGTGTCAGTTGTAATGAAGTGGCTAAACCTAGAGACTGTTATAGAGTGAAGTAACTCAGAAAAAGAAAAACAAATATCATATATTAGCACATATATATGGAATCTAGAAAAATAGTACTGATAAACCTATTTACAGAGGAGAAATGGAGACGCAGACATAGAGAATGGACTTGTGGGCACAGTGTGGGAAGGGGAGTCTAGGAGAAATAAGAAAGTAGCATTGACATATATACACTCTCATGTGTAAAACAGTTAAGTAGGAAGCTGCTATATAACACAGGGAGCCAAATCTGGCACTCTGTGATGAAAAAGAAAGATGGAATGGGGTTGGGGGAATGGAGGCTCAGTAGGGAAACTAATATATGTATTGTGCTGTGCTTAGTCACTCAGTTGTTTCTGACTCTTTGCAATACCATGGACTGTAGCCCACCAGGTTCCTCTGTCCATGGGGATTCTTGAGGCAAGAATAGTGGAGTGGGTTGCCATTCCCTTCTCCAGGGAATCTTCCCAATCCAGGGATTAAACCCAGGTCTCCCACATTACTGGTGCATTCTTTACAGTCTGAGCCACCAGGGAAGCCCAAGAATACTGGAGTGGGTAGCCTATCCCTTCTCCAGGGGATCTTCTCAACTCAGGAATCAAACCAGGGTCTCCTGCTGCATTGCAGGCAGATTCTTTAGCAGCTGAGCTACCAGGGAAGCACCCCCCACAACACACACGCACACACACACACACACACACACACACACACACACACGGAGTCATGACTAAATCAGTTTGATGTATGGCAAAGACTACCACAACTTTATAAAGCAATTATCCTACAATTAAAAAAAAATGATACTGAATCTGAACTTTATATATAGTGTTAAAAGTGAATCTTATAGTTTTAAGTTGTTTAAATTGTTATATTTATTATTTCTTCCCTGAACTCCCCAGAAAGAAATTGTTAAATCTTTGCTGCTGCCCTTGTATAGAAGGGCCTGAGTATGTTGCTAAATGCCAGAGTCCCATGTTCTGTGAACAGAATCATCATCCTTCTTTACAAGGATTAATACACTCTACACATAAAGCTCCCAGCCCTGTGTTTGCTGCATGTTGGGATCCTCAGGGATTGGTGCAAGTAGGTGGAGGAGGTTATATAACTTAACATCCCTTTCCAAGTGGGAGGAGGAGATGGTCAACAGCTGCCAGTTCCACAGTTTTTCTTGCCAGCCCAAGTGATCCCAGACTTATTTGGCCAGAGGAGCTTCCTCAGCATTTAGAGGGGAGATTTGCTGAATGAGAAACAGTGTCTTAAACCTTTGGCGATTTATGTTAACTTCCTCCAGCTAGGAAAGAAGATTATTTTGCATACCTTCAACTTTGCTGAATACAGTTATTGGTTATTGTGACTTTCCAGTGAATCTTGGGATTTTGTATATATAGAATCATGCCATCTATGAATTGGCTTCTCTGGTGGCTCAGTCAGTAAAGAATCTGCATGCAGTGCAGGACACCCGGGTTCAATCCCTGGGTTGGAAACATCCCCTGAGTAGGAAATGCCAACCCACTCCAGTATTCTTGCCTGGGAAATCCCATGAATAGAGGATCCTGATGGGCTCTAGTCCATGGAGGTCACAAGAATCAGACATGACTTAGTGACTAAATCACCAACCACCACCATCTATGAATCTAATTTTACTTTTTCCTTTGCAATATGGATGCATTTTTAATTCTTTTTCCTGCCTAATTGCTCTGGTTAGAACTTCCAATACAATGTTGAATAACAGTGGTGAAGCCAGGCATCCTTGCCTTGTTCCTGACCTTAGGGGGATATTTTCAGCTTTTTGTCATTTAGTACAATGCTAGCTATGCATTTTTTAGAATTGCCCTTTTAATATGTTGAAGAAGTTCCTCTCTGTTTCTAGTTTTCAGAGTGTTTTTACAATCAGCTATTTTGGATTTTGTTCAATGACTTTTCTGCATTAATTGAAACGATAATATGGCTTTTCCCCCTTCATTCTATTAGTGTGGTATACTACCTTGATTTTCTTACGCAGAACCACCCTCACATTTCTGAGGAAAAACTCACTTGGTCATGGTGTATAATGCTTTTAATATTCTCTTAAATTTAGTTTGTTAGTATATTACTGAGGATTTTTAAATCTATATTCATATCTGATATCAGTCTATAACTATTTTCTTGTGGTGTCTTTATCTGACTTTAGTATCAGGGTAATGTTGGCCTTGGGGCTTCCCTGGTGGCTTAGTGGTTAAGAAGCCACCTGCCAATAAAGGAGAAACAGGTTCCCTTGGAGAAGGAAATGGGAACCCACTCCAGCACTCTTGACTGGGAAATCCCATGGACAGAGGACCCTGGCATGCTACAGGCCATGGGGTCGCAAAGAGTTGTACAGGACTTCTCGACTAAACAGCAATGTTGACCTCAGA